CAAAGTATCACTAGCCCCTCAATCCAACCAAAACCCATAATTATGGATTGGGGCTTTTTATTTTGATTTAGCAGGGTGAGACACAAAGCATTTAATCCAAATTCTTTGCTAAATTTTTAGCCTTTTTTCTCATCTCAGCCTGCTTATCTGTGCAGCTTTTAGTATGGCTTGAAGAATATAATGATATAAAGTATCTTAAGTGTGATTCACATGCAGTACAGTTTGTGAGAATTATACAGCTATATCAGAAACTTAGGGGACAGTGTGCAAGGACACAGCTCCTGCAGGACAGCTCCTGTAAGTAGGGACACTTACAACTTACACTTACAACTGCCCTGACAAAAGAAAGCAAAATTAAAAACCTCTGCTGAATTAGCCAGTGGAAGATTAGCTTTTGCCTGTGTCTGCAAGTGGGGTGAGCAGGTAGAACTTCAGATTCTTCAACTGTGTAGTAACCCACTGAAACCAGGGTTCTCTTTGATGCTGATCTTCAGTGCAAGTGTAATCTTCTTGAGTGTTCATCTTCTTCCTTGACATGATTATTCTTCTCTACACAGCCTCCTAGCTTAAGTCAAAAGTGAGATAAAAGGTTAAGAATTCATTTGTTCTTAAGGGGGAAACAAGCTGGTTTGGACAGGTGTTTTAAAGGACACGTCCACTAAATCAGTGTCACTAATTCAAGGTAGCTCAGTAACTGGATCCAGCTCTTTGCTTTTATGTCTGTCAGGCTGCTTGCAGGGGACTCGACCTGATCTTGTGGTCTGTTCACAGATGCCGAACAGTTCTGCTGTTACTCTGTGATACAAGAGATTGTTAGGTAACTAAGTCGACTGTGAATAGGACTGACTAAGGTGCCCTTTAACTAGCACTGATTCAGCCAAAATGCACATAAGGTATTGTTGGCTTTCCTTGCATGAGGGTAGCACTAACAAACTGTCTCTGTATTCTGGCAGTTTCTGTAGTCCAGCCTCACAGCCAGATGAGCAAATTTCAGAGGCTTCTTGTCTTTGTAGTGATGGTGTTGTCCTTGGTGTAAGATGTACTTGTTTTAGTTGACTTTGAGTAATTTCAGTACCTTGGATAACAGCTTCTTAATTTATCATCTTGTGATGGTGCTCAACCAGAAATACAGAACTGACACACAGACAGCCAAGCTGACTGTAGGTTTGGTTAGGTCTGGCCTCCTGAGTTTCAGGCTCTTGGTCAGCGTTCCAACAGAGGTCTGCATTATATTTAGCATAACTTGTCATGTTAAGTTACACTGAGATTTTTTTTTTTTTCCTAGGGGAGTGTAACCTCTTACACTTCAAAAAGGCCAAAACCTTCATACCAGATTTTTATTAGTTGTATCAACAGTGTAACTTCAGGAGAATTGTATTTGGTCTCTGTATTGTTTAGGCTTTGACTAAACTAAGACCTGTGTTTGTTAGTACTGCTGATTCCTAGTCTTGCATAAGCATAGTGTCTGTCTGAGAAGAGCAGAGGTGTGGTTTGCCAGTCCATTGCATCTCATCGAAGTCAAATTATACAGTCTTATTTCTGAAAGGAAAACATTTTAATAAGGGCAATTACTGTTCTAGAGAAATATTGAGGCTGGAAACAGCTGAATTATGTCAATTAAAATCCTCAGTTAACTTCTGTTACAGAACAATTTAAAACAACAATGGTAGTGCGTTACCCGTTACTTTCTGAAGGCACGTAATTCTTGCTATCATTGAATGGCAAATACGCATGGACCAGTTGGAAAATGCCACAAAGGGAGGGCTTTTAAATGTTCAGATTTGCCTTAATGACTTTATAAAAAAAGTCTGCTAAAAATCTTCTGCAATGAATATGACCCTCAACAGTAATATTTATGTAGTGTAATTAGAGTGTTAAGGATCCCTTTACTGTTCACAGTGTAATTAGACTTATAATCTAGTAAATCTGACATACTATAATGTTCTGCTTTGTAAACATTGACTCCATTTTAAGACTGAGATTGCCTCATGCCAACAAATAAAAGAAAATCATGGCCTCATAAAATCTTCTAATTATTTAGATGTGCACTCTGTGGGTTCCCCAGTGCAGTCAAAGTTGAGACTGAACCAAGGTGAATATTGAACACAGGTGCAAGCTTCAGTGCAAGTGATTTGCCAGGCTCCTTTTATGTAAACCTTATCTGTCTGCTTAAATCTCACTAAGTTTTAAGAGGGGAAGATGCAAATCTGCGTAGCTTTTTAACCTTATTTGCACAGGCATATTTATATTGTACTTCTGCCTTATTTTTCATGTTTCTAGATAATGACCAGATATTGATTTGTTGGAAATCCAGTGTAGCCATGTACATGTATTGATCAGTTAGTTATTCACTCATGGGAGGTAACTGAAAATGGGCTTGGCTAAATAATTCATCTTTTAGGGCTGAACTTAATTTGGTGTATCTTAAATGGACAAGAACTCAGATACTAGATTATTTAAGCAGTAAGTAGAATGGGCTGTTGCTAAAAACTTTTATTTCATGTTTGCTGTTAAAGACCTTTAATGAAACTGTCGTCTTGATGTAATTACATAATTCATTTTTTCAGCTTAATGAAAAGATCCAAATCTCTTAGGCTCTGCTCTTTTGAGACCTGCATGTACTATGTGAACTCGGAGGACGGCCTGCTTCTCTTTGTTAGCCTGTGAGAGCATTCATGAGTTGTCCTTGCTTCTCTCTGCAGTGGTCTATGTTAGTCAAAATATCTTACAATACTGGCAGTAATTTTCTGAAGAGCACAAAGTGACTGCTCTCAGCAATGAGAATGGATTCCAGATAGGAAGCTTTTTTGATACAAGCTTTGCTTTTATTGCAGTAGCTATTAGTTGCTGTTTCTACTGTCAGCCACTGTACATACAGAGCAAAAGATAGGTGCTAGTGGTGTCTACAGCCTGTCTAGGTAGCTTGCTGTAATTACAGCATCTCACTGTGAAATCTTTCCCACAGCTGTGCCAGCAAACATCGCAGACCTGAGAAACATAGAAGTGCTCAACTTTTTCAACAACCAGATTGAGGAGCTGCCTACACAGATTAGCAGCCTTCAGAAGCTCAAACACCTGAATCTTGGGTGCGTATCGTAATGCAAAGATTTGCTGCAACAGAAGTACTGTCAAATGTTGTCACCACTGAACCTGGAACTTCTTACTTTTTGCTACTTAAGTTTCTTGTTAGAAGTGTTTGTGAGGATAACTTGGCAGTCATGGCTTCAGAGTGTTTATCTGTGTCCTGGATGATTGGATGCTTATGTGATCAAGCACTGAAATGGTTACTAATGTACCAGAGTTAATGGCAACAGCAATTCATGTTAATCTACTACTGAAGTTAAACTTAACAATGATTGAATTTGACTTCACTAGCAACTTTCTTTTAATTCTGTGGTTGCTGCTTCAGTGGAGTTGGTGATACTTTATAATTGCAGAAGGTTTTCTTGAATTAAGAAAATAAATGTGAAGCATAGAGCCTTCTTTACTAACTGGGCATATTAAAGTGTAACTACTTAAGAAGCACTGGTAGGGGTAAGCTCTAGCTATGTAGCCTTCTCATAGAAAGAATGTTTGTGGCTTATAAATTCAAACTTCTGAACACCATAAACTGAGGATTTTTTACTATTTTAAATACCAAAGGATTTTGGCTAGGCTCTCTCTATCCTGCTTTAGATACTTTTGTAAAGTGCTGATAACTGAATTGCATCTTGAACTGTTGGATGCCAATAAATGTTTTCATGATGAGCTATTGTCTTTGTCTTTATGTGGTCACTTTAGATCTCTAGCATGTCTTAATATCTGCTTAAACCTGGAATTGCTTTTCCAAGCAAATATGATTTCACAGTTGGGATACTATATATCTTAGATGTTGAATCCATGTTTTTGGAATTGCATATAGATGTGTTCCAGTATATGGAGGGAAGAAGTTGGTGTCTTTCCCTGGATTAAAGCAGTGACAAGTGTTAGTGTAGTTCAAATACTGGTTTTCATTAGTGGGAAAAAAAAAAAAAAGCAGTGTAAAAGTCCACTTGGTTAAGATCAGCAGACATTAGGTCTGGAACCACAGTTGCCACCTTCATGTAGCCCAGGATCTTGCAGAGTAGATGCTCTTCCTTTTTAATACTCTCCTTACGTGTTATCTTCAAGGTATGGGATTAACAGCCCATCTTTAGCTCTGCAAAATAGGTTCTGCTTCAGAGGTCGATGGAGTCAGTGAAGAAGAAACTGTTTCTGCCCCAGTAGTTTGCCAGGGGCAGCCCAGAAACCCTCGTGTCATCTACAGTGCATTGTACACATGGGGCATCAAAACAGCCCTCTGGGGCAGAGGAGAAGCTTGAATAAGAGCTTAGATTATTCTGGGGAGGAGTTCGGTGCAGAAGGGTCAAACGATGGGGTGGAAGGTGGGAAGGTGTACTGCTGCACTGAAAGATTAAAAGAAAACTTAAAAATTTGGAAGGCAGATGTGGTCTGGTTGCTGTGGTACAAGCTCAGTGTTTGAACTCCTGCAGGGCTGCGTAGTGCTGGGCAAGGCCTTTCAGCTGATTCTTTCTCCATGCCAAAAAATAAATACCATACTGCCTGTTGTCAACAGGGAGAACACTTCTTCTCTCCCTGTTTCTTGCTTACAAAATGCAAGGCTGTCAGGGCCACTTATTCGTTTTACTAGTGAAAGAGGAGCTGCTTTCTTCAGTCCTGCTTGATATAAAAACAGTTTTATAGACAGTGACAAGTCTGCAGTAGTAGTAATGGAGAATGCCTTTCTGTATTTTAATAAGTACTATTACAACAGTTATACTTAATGCATATCCCTGTTAAGACTCCTTACAGAGGGGAAGGAGGAAGAAGATTTCATCTAGAGTTTAGCTACAGAGAGCTGATCTCTACAGGATCTTGTTCTAGTGGGGCTGGCTTATGCAAAAGTGGGAGAGGAAAGGTGAAGTTAGTATGTGAGTATGTTAGTAAAATAAATGTATGTGCTGCTCCTGATTCTGCTCACATGCAGTTGTCATGCTTAGTCTGGAGGTGCAGCTACTCTTGTGTTTATTTCAGTGTCTGAAAGAATAGAAGCATAGAAGATGGGTTTATTATCTGTCCTAGAAATGTATTTCATAGTATCTATCATGTAGTATAGCCAGTGTTTGACAAACATTACATGGGGGAGGGAAGGCATTAGGGATCAGAGGTCTTTATTATTTTTGGGTACCCAACTTTGTCAATACTTTGAATTTTCAGTGTTTAGCGTAACATCACATTCCATACGTTCACATTTCATCTCCTCTTGACTCCAGTTGTGGCTATTGCTATTTATCACTTCTGCATCAGAAGGAGGGTCGAATTCAGAATATGTTTAGAGATAATACATGAGAGGTCATGACTGTTTCCAGTCATCACTTAAGAATAAAATCCGGTTCTTCAAAATAGCTCCCAGTACGTGCTCTTCCTGAAGATGCCCATCTTCTCTGTTCGATTTTCAAACCCAAGTGACAACTGAGGCAAGATCCATACACACAAGCTATATGTTTGGTGTACATGCAGCAGGGATGATATGAATAATAAGCTAGTATTTCCTTTCTGTTCGTATAAGCAGCCAGAGCTCTAGCTCATGCACAGATAGTAAAGTTCTATGATTATGGTCTCCAGCTCCTTGCCTTTCTTTGTTGCTGCTGCAGCTCTAGTGATTCTCTGGACAAACCTTGTTCAAGTCCTTTGAAGTTACTGTTTTCTGTAGCTTGTCTGCTTTAGGTTATCAGAGAAACCTTTTCCTTTTGTTAGCTTTCCCTGTGTTCTTCCAGCTGTTACCCTAAATCCTTTAAGACTGGATGAAAGAGCTCTATTTAGACTTAGCCTCATCAGTCAGAGGACTGACATTTGTTTCATGCTTGATATGCATCAATAGTTATCTAGTGATACAAATTTGCCGTTCTTAGGAAGGGCTTTGAGCAGCAATTACCAGTGAACATGAATACTGTGCAGTTGAGGTATTCTTCTTTGGTATTGTGGTGAAGAACTATGTGGTATGGTGGAATGACAGATGGTCAAGATGATGTGCAAAAGGGTTGTTTGTAGTTTAGCCAGAAGATAGGTCATCTACCAAGGGCCAGCTTTCCCTGTGGCATACTGTTTAAGCTGAGCATGGTGTTGTGATGCCTCTCTCCCTTGTGCTTCATGTTTGAGGTAAGGCTGTTGATTGACATAACGGACAGGATCCCTTGTGAGTGCTTAAATTTTGGGCATATTTATGGAAAGAGATTAATAGAAAAATTAATCTGCATTGCAAAAGTCCTGTTCAGTGTTTTCTAGCATCAAGCCCTTTTCTAAATAGAAGTGAAGCTTGCTGTAGATTACATTTTTTTAGACGTTAAGCTTGTGTTGTTTGTATTATTCCTGCTAGATAAAGTTAATACTGATGTCGTGTTCTGTTTTCTTTTCCCTCTTTCACTACAGCATGAACAGGTTAAACACCTTGCCAAGGGGATTTGGCTCTTTACCAGCTCTAGAGGTTCTTGACTTGACTTACAACAATTTAAATGAAAACTCTCTACCAGGAAACTTCTTCTATCTGAGTAAGAAACTTTTCTAAAATCCCTACAAATCTTCATGATATGATGCTTTGCTTTCTGCAGTTGAAATTTATTTAATGGAAACCAAACTCCAACAGAATTATTGTGATATTTATGTTTTTCTTTGAGTATCTCTTGAATTTTTCTACGTAGCTCAGCATTATTTATCACTGATATACAGTTACCTGACACCATTGGACATGAGAAGACTTGGTTAGTAATGGTATATTAGTTTTCTTCTGAGTAATATTTCCTTGGGTACAGAACTCAGTTAAAACTTCATGGAAGCGTGCAAGCCTCAGGGGAAAGTAAACTGTTTTGCAAGGCGACTGTTGTGTGTTGGCTCTGGAAACAACGGTGTTCCTGGTGGTTCATTACTGAAATAGTTTTAGCAGCATGTGGATATTGAAGTGTCCAGTATGTTAAAAAATATGCTAAAGTTGCAAAGCACAGGAATGGTAGAGCTAAGCCGACCTTTGCACATGTTAAAAATACTCACTCAGAGTTAAAATAAAGGTATTGCAATGCATATGTGCAGAAGGGCTGCATTGTGGTTGCCTAAGCAACTTGAATTCTGGCACTTTCTGGATCTCAGTGATTGTGCTACCTTACTGGTCTTTTCAGTGTGCTCTGCTGAGGTGGCTTCAGGATCAGTGCATTTAGCAGCAAAAGTGACAGGCGAGGGGAGAGGAAGGAGTGCTGCTGCCTGAGCGATTTTGCAACTGTAACCTGGCAGAGGGAAATTTTTAGTCAGCGTTATTAAAAATGGTCACATTTAATGAAATGAAAGGAGGAGGAGGAGGAGTAAACTGCGTAAGGCAAGTGGGATCTCCTCTGCTGGGGAGGAGAGTTTTTGCTGACCTGAGCACCTTCCTTCCCGCTGCGCCCAACAGTTCTTTGTGAGTCTCCATTTTAATTTTTGTTTTCCAAGCTGTCACGTATGCTCGTTCAGTAATAGCAAGCTACATGGTTGTGCTGGGTCATCTCTTTTTCTCTGGATTTTGTAGAGTCTAAGCATGGAAATTACAAATTGTGCAGCTTGAATCTTCTATATTGCTCTCTTTTAAGCTCTCTTTCCCAGTGTTAGGCTGTGCTTTTTATAGAGCTTGATGTAGATGTTTGTCAAAAAACCTCAGATGATTGTTTTTAAATGTTTGTTTATGATGCAAATTGATTTTAATAAATAAGAATCAGAGGCAATAAAGAGTAATGACTGTATTCTGACAGCTAGGCATCAAGATTATATGCCAGAACCTGCCAGAGTCTACTATTGTAGAAATTGTTAATTGTGCCATTCCTTTCAAATATAGATATTTTCCTGAACTCACCAACAATACAATAAGCCAGTAAATCTAAGTTTGACCTGCTTGTTATTATTGTGAGCCCTGAGTATGTTAAAGGCTTTTCACCAAGTCAGGGTTATTAATCAAACCTGACTCCTTTTTATTGATTAGACCTCAAATGGTTGGGTTATATGCCACCCTGTTTATATATTGCTATTTAATTTGCAGCCACCCTGCGTGCACTCTATCTAAGTGACAACGATTTTGAAATCCTGCCGCCAGATATTGGGAAGCTCACAAAGTTGCAGATAGTAAGTAATTTATCTAAATTCTTGGAAAATCGATGCGCTTTTGCAACACTTGTAGGAATAGAATCCAGTCAATTTGAGGAGTAGTAAGGTATGTTTGCAGGAACAGACCACTATGTCTGGAACTGTTTCTTGTTTACCAGTAGACACTTGTAAATAAATTGGAAGAACTGAGTGTCTAGGAGAAAGGGGCAGAGGGACTACAGTTCTGATTTAGGCTGCTTTATGGTAACTGATATTGTTCTGACTACTTTACATTTATTCACTTTTAGCTGAGTCTTAGAGACAATGACCTGATATCACTGCCCAAAGAAATTGGTGAGCTCACTCAGCTTAAAGAACTTCATATCCAGGGAAATCGTCTTACTGTGCTACCCCCAGAACTAGGTAAGATTATGGATGATCATTTATTTATTTGAATAATAATGATGATGATGCATTGTTTCCTCTGAAATGAAACCAGTTGTTAAACTCTAGGAAATGATTATGCTTAAATTGTCATTGCTGCTAATACTTGCTTTCCCCTGAGAAACACTCACTTTTTCACTGCTACTGGATATGCAGAATAAGACAGATGATGATGTGTGCTTGGTTTCACTAGTTTTTTACATGTTACATTTTCCTTGTGTATTAGTACACCTCACTGCCAATTTGTATATAGCATCTTGCTTTATGTAACATATAATAAACATAGGGTCTGCAAAGCTATTCTTGTGTCTGGCTGGGTTTTGAGAACAGTTTTTGGATTAGTCAAAATTAGATTAAGTAAAAATGACAGTAGCGTAAGTAGCTTTTTTGTGACTGTTCCTGTAAAAATGGAAGTTCGATCACTAAGAGTAAAATACTGCTAAATTAAAGGAAGTTTTTGTTTTTCTGTTTCAGTAGCCTATCTTTCTTAGTGTGGTGACAACTCTTTCACTTAAAGCAGCGGAGCTGGTTGATATATTTTGTGACGTTGGCCATTTAAATATGATGACAAGTGGCTTCTTTCCAACCTATGACGTTTTTCTTTGAAACATATTGATTTTGCTGAATTTGCATGGCAGTATTCCATTTTACGTGAGGGGCATTAACTTCAATAGAGGTTGTCCCTGTTTGTCCCAAGCCAGAACGTGGTCTCAAATCTCTTATACAATCTTTAAAAAATATTTTTATTCAGAATACTATAGTTACATCAATTACCTGCCGTAGAGCCCCCTGTTTACACAGGTTTGATTCCTTATTTCATGTTATTGTGGACTGTTACATAGGGGAGTTTCCTTGTTTCTACTATTATCTTCCAAGTAATAGTTCTCCAAAACTCAGAAAGCTAATGACTGAAGCATCATAAAGTGAAATGCTTTATTGTCATAGGAAGTTGATTTGACCCATTAGAGACTGTGTCAGCTGTGTGCACAAATGTGGGAGTCTGCAGTGTGTGCTCTTTTGTTTGTGTGCAAAAGAAAGTGCTTTTTCTGTGAGGTGGGGCAAGATGTTTGTTTTAATTCATATTTGTTTACCCAACATGGGATTTTTTGTCTTTATCAATCTAGTGGACTATATGATGCTGAGTATTCTGCCTCCCCCACAGTAGATGATAGTTGCTCTCGTTTTCTTAATTTCAGATGTTTATTCCTTGACACAGGTATACTTTCTTTAGTTTTTCGTGAAAGTCATTTATTTATATAGTCTCTTTCAACAGCAATAACATTCAGAAGCATGTAAACTTGCTTTTCTGTACCTTCTTCATTTATAGCCTTTTTGCAGATAGTGGAAGTTCAGTGCTGCACTGGGTCTAACCACTCTCTGTGGCTAATTAAATGTTCTAAACATGCTGCTGCTTTACAAGTATAACAGCACATTCACTTTAAATGTTTTACCATCATTGTCCAAAGCAAAGAGATATGTTTGAAACAAAATTCATGATGTTTATTTTGCACTGACCTGCGATACTTGGGATGGCCAGAGGAAGCATTTCTTCCTTTAGTTAACGTTTGCATTAGAGAAGAATATAAAAATCTCATTTAAAAAAAAAAAAAAAAGGCTTGTAATTTTTTCCTACCTGATCAGGATGAGCTGTATTGGAACAACTTAAATCCTTGTCAGCTTCGTTCTTTATTACTCAAATGCTATCCTATAAATGATACTTTAATGTATTAATTTACCAGTTTTTCATTTTATGGTCTTACTCTTTCATTCATGATCAGTTGGTGTAATTTCTGTTGCACTTTATGCCATGTGTAGTGCTAGAACTATCTCGGACGCTTAAAAACGTAGATTTTGGGGTATATTTCCAGAATACATTGCACTGAAGTCTAGATTTGTAACTGACACAATTTGCAAGCATATTTACTGTGCAAAGCAATGTTCTTGCTTATTAAACATCTAGACAAACACTTCGGGAATGGATTTTAGTAAACAGAGTGCTAGGCTGGGCTTTGGAGGGCCTGTTTGAGATCAGGTAGGAGCAGGCCACAGGCAAGCATGAATCTTCTGAATGACTAGAAAAAGTTACTTCATCTCTGCAGCCTTGTTTTCCGTTCTGCAAACTAAGGCAATTTAGAGAAGCACGCCTTTGCAGGCAGTTTTAAGTCTGCCAGTGTAAAGGCGGTATGTGAATGTTGCACCCTAATGCATGGACTGCTAATTCCATAGTTGCCATCTGAGGGAAAACCAATTTTATCTGTTGTCTGAGTTCTCCCTCCTAAATTTTTAAAATTGAATTATAATGTAAGAAGAGCTATCCAAATACTTTGTGCTGTGCATGTTGGATAAATAGCTTTTCAATGAGCAGATCTTATTTGCATTAATTGGAGATACTGCAGTTCCATTTTAAAGTAAACGATCTTTTCTCTCTCATTATCACTTTCATAATTAAAGGCACTGAAGGCTTTTGATTGGCACTGGTGGACAGCAATGAGTCATTAGATGTTCATTTACCACGGACATGGGCGCAATATAAAACACCAGACTAAACCAGAGTACTTGAATGAGGAGAAGGCGGTGGGGGAGAGTACATGAACCTGGTTTTTACAGCTAATGGAAGTAAGTGCAGAAGAAAATAAATATGGAGTGTCAGGTATGAGAAAAGGCCACGGACAGGCATTGGGATCCTAGTTTTGGAGTGGAGAGAGATACTAATAAATAAAATATTACAGTCTGCTCTTAATTTCACTCAGTGAGATTTTGTGTGGCACATACCTGTAAGAGGTCTGGGGGAAACCAGTATTCCCCTCCTCTGTGTTTATCAGAGAACACCTATTGCTAATTTAAGAGAAACACTCCTGCCTAGGAGGAAATGCAAGGACTAGGAGAATGCACTGGTGTTCTGGGTGAGGGTGCTTGTCTGTAAATACAGTACGTGTGAGTGATGAACACAGGAAATGACCAGGAGTATGTGGGTGGAATTTGCAGCTTGTTTTTATCATTTGTCTCTCAAAACCCCGTTCATGAGGAATGGTGGTGGGCAGTCATATATAAACTTAAAGAGGCGCTGGCATTTTTTTTCCTAGCATTTAAAAGGTTATGTGCCGCATTGCGAGACAAATAAATCATGATTCACAGCAACAACAGAGTTGCAGTCAGTTATATAAATTGCCAGGGAAGCACTAAATCTGTCACTTTGTGTATTCTGACCATTTAACAATTGGAACGGTGCTTGGAAAGAAAGCCGAGTAGGAACATGAACCACATAAAGTGGCAGATGCAATTAGTAATATCAATTGTAATGTTTTAAGTTCATTGTATGGTCATCTGGATGGACCCATATGTGCGAGATAAGAGATTTTCTTATCACAGTCAGGAATGTAAGAGAGCAGTATATGGTTCAGAATATTCGCAAAGTTGTAGCTAAATGTAAATAGTCACCCAGAGAAGGTAACTAGTGGTTTTGCTGTGAAGACAAATGGCATGATTTAAAAAACCCAGATTCTAATGTTGACTGCATTCTTTATCCTGCTGCCAACACACGTGTGTGCACACATACAGGGAGTTTGCTCATGTTAATGTGTATGGAAAGAACAGTAATTTCTAAGGCTGCTTTTTTAATTACCATCCTCTTTTTCCAAAACTGAATGTTGGCATCAGTAGCTTTTAAGTGTACTGTTCAATACTGTTCTAGTTTATCAAATTTGCTCAGGTAAAGGGAGAAACTACCAAAACTCTGAAGTTAGGTGCGTACTTGAAAAGTGGAAAATTCAAGCTTTTTTAAAAAGGAAAAAAACCCTTGATGGTATAATTAGCCATGTTCCTTCTCAGGGACAGTGGAACATTTCATAAATTAAATCTGTATTGCAGAATGGATAAGTAATTCTTTCATCGAAAGACTGGCTTTCAATGTGAGGTTCAAGAAATCATACCAAGTCTCAGTATTTCCTTCACAAGAAGACATTTTAAAATTTAGGCTTTTGAAATTGCTTGAGAATTTGTGAGTGAATATTATATTACACAAAGTAGTTGCTGCAGTTTGTTCAAATTAATATTAATCGAAATTGCAGTTTACTTAGGTAATTATAACAGGCATGAGCAAACATAGAAATCACTTATTTCACAAAAGATATTTCTTTTCTAAATATGCTTCACGTAAATGCCAAACTTCTCTTATTTCAGTAAACTGTCACTGCACTCTACCTGTGTCACAACACCACGCTGCTCACCTACAAATACAGGTCTGCTGTACTCACTGGAAGCCTGAGCATCCTGGGGCTCTTTAGACACCAGCTCTGAGCTGGATCAACTAGTTGATATCTTGCAATTTAAAAGAAAAAATTACCTGTTTCTACTTTTGGAACTAAGGCAAAGGTGATGTGAGAAAGCAAAGAGCTTTACTAAACTTCCCAGTGGATAAACAAAAGAACTTGTTTTCTAGAACTACTGATGTAGCAGTTATTAGTTAAGGAGTAATAGAAAAATCTGCATAACAAGATAGGTCACAAACAGATTATTTAGGTAAGAAAAGCATCTCTGAACATTTGTGAATATTCTAGTCATGGTTTTCATTTTAGGCTTATTTTAAGTTAAAAACAAGCACGCAAAAATTCCACAGCCAAAACCCGCCACTTTTTATGTAGTTGGAGACCAGACTGATTCCCAAGTACTTGTGGGAGTTAAGGTGTATGGGAAGAGATGACAACTCTGCAGTTTCATTATACAAAGAAAGATGTTTTCTGTAGCCCATCATTTAGATTTACATCACAGGCACTCATTTCCTTACACTGCTCTAATTCTTGCCAAAGATTCTTCCCAATATTCAAATTTGAACTTACATTAGTTTTTAAAATATGCGAGTCCTACTGTTGCTTCTCAGGTGACTACCGTGTGTGTGTAGGCCCTCCTAATGTTGACTGTACATACCCTGATTATAAGTGCCATCAGCATAATAATGATATCTCTGTCAGCAAATATTTCAT